TTTTTCCCCTTTTTGTGATTTTCAACTTTCTTATTTCTTAATGAGTTATTTTATTGAGCGTTAATCCTATTAGAATTTCCTACACCGCGCAAGATATTTTCTGACCCGTAGATATTTCTTGATGGGTTATTTTGAGTAGGAATTCGGCTCTATTTTATTTAACCCTTCATGTTAATAAAAGGAAATAAAATCTTACCATTAATCCAACGCTTAGTATTTGCTTTGAAGATTACCTCATACGGCAGATTTCACGAGCCAAATCCCCCACAGTACTCGCACGCTGTACCCCCTCTCACTGTGTACGTTATCCTGCAGGCGGAATATATACGGCAACAATTTCCCCCCTCAGAAACGACAACCATTCAGTGGACCCCACACTCCTCGAAGAAAACCCCTCCTCGATTGTCTCCTCAGCACATCCTAACTCGCGGGCCCCACAGAGGCCGACCCCAATTATTTTTGGCGGTAAAGGAAAACTGGTCCCCGCGTGTCAGCGGCTCAAGGGGCCACCCATGTATGTATGGTCGGCGATGGATGTATGACCCCATCCCATCCCTTCCTTTTCCCGCGCAAAAGTGGAGGGAATATAAAACGCCAGGGGGAAAAAAGGAGGGAAACAAACAGGAACAATAAAAAAAGGAGAGGGTTTTGGGGATTCCTTCACCGACCCACAAAACCCTAGCGTCCGTCCGTACGAACCGCCACCTCCGCCGCCGGATCGGTTGATTTCCGGTGATTTTGGGCCTCAGATCTGCTGGTTTGAGTGAAGGATCGAGGGATTTGAGCTCAGATCCGTTGCATTTCTTTTTCTTTCAGTTGATTTTGAGAGATGGAGGATGTGAAGCCGGGGATTTCGTCGCGTTCGGATGAGGGGGGCGCGATTGAAGCTCGATTTTCTGATCTCTGCAAGGTTCGTTCTGCTAAGTTTCTCAGATTTAGGGGAAATTTTCTCTACTTTTGGTATTTATTTAGGTCTTAGGTCTCATGTATTTTTCTCTTTCTGATTTTGATGCGTGAGAAGAACGATTTGGGGCTTGATGAGAGCGCAATGAGGCAGGCGATGGTTTTCTTCAGAGAGAGCAAACACATTCTGATGGCCAACATGTCTGCGATTGGGAGTGGATCGGTATGGAAAATGGAAAATGGAAAATATTATTCTTTTTCACTGCAATTAGTGATAGTTAGATGCATTATTTGCTAAAAAGTTTCTTGCTTGTATTTTATTATTGCGATTGGAATCAGGCAAATTGAGTAATCTTGTTTCACTATGTTTTCTTGTTATTGGGTTCATTGCCATTCGAGCCAGTATTTAGGGTTTTAAATTATTTTAATTACTTTTTAGCCGGAAGAGGTGGAGAGGTTTTGGGGCGCCTTTGTGGTGTACTGTGTGACAAGGCTGACCAGGGGAAGGGCAACAAAAGAAAATGAAGAAAATGGGGTTCCTTTGTGTCAGATTTTGAGGGCCTTCAAGCTTAAGTAATCCCCCGTTCTCTGCTTATATTTGTTTAGTCTTGGGCTTAGTGATTTTAGCAGACTAACCCTTCCCCCCCTTTGATTTTGCAGCGTTGTGGATTTCTTTAAAGAAATACCTCAGCTTGCTCTGAAGGCTGGTTACATTCTAAGCGGGCTTTATGGTTCGGATTGGGAAAAGAGGCTTGAGGTATTAAAGCATTTCATTTCCATCTTTGTATGGGTTGATTTAAATTTCGTTTATCCATTATTTGACACTGTTTGCTGTTCGTTTGGCTGTCCTGTTTGCAATAGTTGAAGGAGCTACAGGCAAATTTTGTCCATTTAAGTCTTCTTAGCAGGTAAAGGCTCAAGCATCCATCTAGTATGATCTGTTATATTTCCGTCGATTAATGTAAATTTTCATGGTAAGCCACTATAGTAAGGGCAGTTAATACTTGTGAGTTTCCCCTAGAAGATGTTATGAAGGAAGCAGTCCCTATTGAGCTTCTTAATGTCAGTTTTACCAACAAACTTGCTTTCTTGTCTTGTCCGGTCTTTTTGGCTATAACCTTCTGTTCTGGTTTTGCTTTTGTCATGTGTAATGCCTAAACATGCAATTTTTTCGTCCTCCCTTTATTGAACTTGGTACTTCTTTGTGCTATAAGTATTGTTTGCTGGATTGCTAAGCAGCTTAAATAACTGTAAACTGCGTGGCAATTCTTTAGTAATTTTATATCAGCTATTAGTATGGTTCCAATATGTTGGATACAGCTATAATAGATGATGTTGTGATGGCGAGCATGCAAACAAGTTGTGGTATGATTTCAACTTAAATTTAGCATATGATGTTTTTTTGCTTGTGATAACTAAACATATAGCCAGTTCTCAGTTTGCAAAGTGATGGTCAGATCCAGTGCGAAGGTGAATTTGTTGTGAAATGGTGATCTAAGGATATGTCCCTATTTTTCATATGCTGGGTTTTCTTTGCTCTGCATCTTACTGTGTGCATAGGTGTATGCTCTGTGTTTATACACTGCCTGTTTCTAGTGCTCTCACATTTTTAATTGACATGTTTCCACAACTGATCATCATAAACTTGCATGGTATGTCAGGTACTACAAACGTGCTTATCAAGAGTTCTTTAAGTGCAATTCAGGGAGCGTTCAGCATTCTGCAGTCTCCTCTAGTACAGGTTATGTTTCTGATTACCATAGATTTGGATGGTTACTGTTCTTAGCTCTGCGGCTTCATGCATTCGGTCGTTTCAAAGATTTGGTTACGTGCACCAATGGATTAGTGTCAATATTGGTTAGTTGTTACACAGCTTGATTGTTTTAATTGGACTGTTGCCTATAGTTACTATATAGTATCTGTAAGATTTAGGCTATAATATTCATCTTATGCTTACATTTCTTGCATGCTAACTATAATAGAAATTCTGACAGGCTGTACTTATTCTTCACGTTCCCATACAACTTAGGAATTTCAAGATCCGAGATTCCCCTCTTCTAGGTAATAACTTCAATTCATGATTTTAGTCATGGCACATTTATTTTGGTATCTGTTTATGTACAGAATCTGATGTACTAGAATTAGTTGTAACATGTTTTGCTGTTCTTATTCAGCTAAAAAATCAGACAAGGGTATCAACCTTCTGGCTTCTCTATGTAACATATATCAGACATCAGAAGATGAGGTCAAAAGCACAATGGAAAAAGTTAACAATATAATTGTGAATATTTTAAAAAAGGAGCCTTGTCCAGCTTCAGAGTGCAAGTCGGAAAATCTGGATTTCATCGTACCAGGTCAATATGCTAATTTTGCTTCTACTTAGTGATACTTGCTACCTTTACCTTGTGCTAAACTAACTCCATTATCAGATGGCCTGATGTATTTTGAGGATCTTCTAGAGGAGACCTATTTGAACTCAAGTTTATATATTTTGGAAAAAGACTATGAAAATGCAATCCACATGAGAGGAGAGCTAGATGAGAGAATGTTTATTGATGAGAATGACAGCGTACTTGGCAGTGGAAGTTTATCTGGAGGTGCCATCAACATGTGCAGCAGAAAGGTTTGTTCTTTAAGCATGGTAGAACCCTGCAAACTGCAGCCTAAAAAATACTGAATCTTTCCCCTTAGTCACATGTTTTTATTTTTGGTCATTTTTGCAGCCAAATTCTATTGCTATAGGTTCGCCTGCAAAGACACCACTGCAATTTCCTACCTCACCTGTAAATGGCAATCATGTAGGAAACTCTATCACTGCTATCAGTACACCAGTGAGCGCAGCCATGACAACTGCAAAATGGCTACGTGATGTCATTTCACCACTTCCTTCAAAACCTTCATCAGAGCTTCAGTGTTTCCTTTCAGCATGTGACAAGGATCTCACTGCTGATGTTACAAGGAGGGCCACTATTATACTAGCAGCCATTTTCCCGAGCAGCACTTTTGAACGAAGCATGCCTGGGAGTTTGCAGTCAGCTAACCTGATGGACAGTATATGGGCAGAGCAGAGGAAAATGGAGGCTATGAAGTTATACTTTAGGGTTTTGGAGGCAATGTGCAGGGCAGAGTCACAAGTATTGAATTGTAAGAACCTCACTTCATTATTGACCAATGAGAGGTTTCATCGTTGCATGCTTGCTTGTTCAGCTGAACTAGTTTTAGCTACACACAAGACTGTCACTATGATGTTTCCTGCTGTTCTGGAGAGAACTGGTATAACTGCTTTTGATCTAAGCAAAGTGATAGAGAGTTTTGTCAGACATGAAGAAACTCTTCCCAGGGAGTTGAAACGACACCTAAATTCTTTGGAGGAGCGACTTCTGGAAAGCATGACCTGGGAAAAAGGCTCATCCATGTACAATTCGTTAATTGTAGCAAGGCCAGCTCTATCAGCAGAGATAAACCGTTTGGGACTATTAGCAGAACCTATGCCATCCCTTGATTTTATGGTAGCACATTATAACATTTCTGGTGGGGGTTTACCACCTCTCCCTACTCGCAAGCGGGAGGTCTTGGCAGGTATCTTTATTCTTGAAAAAGAAGAAAAAAGTTTCTTGTTGTGAGATAAAACCCTGACATAAAAGAAATGGACACATAGGAAAATGATTTTAGGGCTCATATATCTCAAACAAACATGTGTGTGGTCATCTCTTAAGCCTTGTGAGCTTCAAAGTTTATATTGTGTTTCCCTGATCCCTAAATGATCACTCTTGCATACGTGACACATTGATGTCTAATAGTCATGCACTTTTATAAACAGGTTTTGTGTTTAACTTAGGTGATTCTTTTTGTCTCTGAGTTGTCTCATGCAAATCTCTTGTTTTAATTATCATATTTGCAAATCTAATGAGCTTCTTTCCAATACGGATTGCAGATCAGAATGGAGATCCTCAGACTCCTAAGAGGCATTGCAGCGAAAGTAATAGTGTGTTGGTAGAGCGTAATACTTTTACTTCACCTGTTAAGGAACGCCTATTGAGTGCTAGTGGCCTCAAAATGAAGTTACCACCTCTTCAATCTGCTTTTGCTAGGTAGAACTCCATCTACATATTTCCCATATATTAGTTATATATGAACACTTTAGCCAAAATTTTCATTTTGTATAATTTAAAACTGTGGTGCAGCCCTACACGGCCAAATCCTGCAGCAGGAGGAGAAACTTGTGCGGAGACAGGGATAAATATTTTCTTTAGCAAGGTAAAAGTTCTTGAAGAAAAGTTGTCGTCTCTTCTTTCTATAGTGTTGCATTTAGTTCACTTCTCTATGTTTTTGGTTACAGATTGTAAAGCTGGCTGCTATTAGAATCAGAAGTTTATCTGAAAGACTGCAATTATCTCAGCAAATTTTGGAGCGTATCTACAGTCTCATCCAAAGAATTCTGAGTCAACGCACTGCTCTTTTTTTCAATCGGCACATTGATCAGCTTATTCTCTGCTGTTTCTATGGTGTAGCCAAGGTACGTTGTGCTCACATAGTGTACATTGATCTTTACTACTTGTCTTATTTTCCAACTTAAAGGCTGAATGTGTGTTGCTAACAGATTTCTCAATTAAGTCTGACCTTCAAGGAGATCATTTATCACTACAGAAAGCAACCTCAGTGTAAATCTCAAGTTTTCCGCAGTGTATTTGTTAGTTGGCCATCCACAAGCCGAAATGGAGTAAGATAATTGGCCTTATTTATTTAATTTATCTTCTATATATCAGTTTCTAATCCAAAGGTTTCATACACAGAAAGTGGGGCAAGATCATATTGATATAATTACCTTTTACAATGAGATATTTATTCCTACTGTCAAGCCTTTGTTGGTGGAGTTAGCATCAACTGGAGTTACTCAAGAAGACAACAGAAGTACCACTGAAGATAAAAATGATAATGATGGTATGTGTTCATCATTCCCCCCCATCCATACCCACTGCATTTTTACAAGTAATTTTGTCTTCTGCTTACTCTTTAATTTCATACTAATTTTGGCATGGTTCAGGTCAATTACCAGGATCACCTCGATTTCCTCCTTTTCCAAATCTCCCTGATATGTCTCCTAAGAAAGTTTCTGCTTCACATAATGTCTATGTCTCTCCTTTGCGGTCATCAAAGGTATGTCTTTCCAAAAATGAAAACTTTCTAGCTTGCAAACTTTTTTCCTTTTCAGAATAAAAGTTTGGAACAAAACAGAAGTCGCATAAAAGGGGAAAAAAAGGTGCTACAGTAATCGATGATTTTATAATGGGAAAAGTAGGAAGCTATTTTTCTGCACTGACAGTTTTCTCCTTTCTTTCTTATAAATTTTTATTTGATACATCAGCTAGGGTTGTGCAGATGCCTGCAGGTCTTTGTTTTTGTTTTTATTTTTATTTTTATTTTCTTTCCATAGTAGAGAAATGATGCAACCACAAAAATTGATACTACACACATATACACGTGCACTCACGCACCCACCCACCTCCCTCGGTGGTGGGTGGGTGCGTGAAAGATTTGTTGTTGCCACCTTATTTACTAGTTGGCTTCTCTTATATAGTCTGCTTGAGTGGCTGTCTCTCTGATTTCATGATAAAGAAGTTTCAGAGATTGGAGATACTCCATGCCATAGTCATTTGCGTGTTGTGTGGAATGGTGGGATGAATTAAAATGCCACCCCCACCCCCACACACACAACCCAAAGTTACAGAAACTGTTAGGCGGCCTAGGTGTCTGACTCAAAATCTAGAGCCTAGGCGGGGCCTAGGCATTATTCTATTTGTTATTTTTTTAATAACGATCAATGTTATCGAAAGCCCTACGCACTCTTAGGTACTAAACTAGCTCTTAGCACTTAGGTGCTAGGTCTAGGAGTCTTTTTTTTTTAAAAGTGGTCGTGGAGGAGGTTTTGTTGAAGATCAGAGGATTTGGAGGAGGTGTTGATAGTCAGTGGAGGAGTTTGGAGGAGGTTAGAGGGCGTGGAGGCAGTAACAAGGGAAATCACGACCGATACCTATTAGTGTAGTCCGTGTAAGCAGTCTCCACTCCCCTTGGCGGTCTTAAGACCTAGGCAGCTGGAGCTTAGGTAGGGGCTTTTTAAAATATTGATACGACACAAACCCAATCCCTCGCCGGACCCCCGCCCATCGACCACCTGCAGATGGTAATCCTGTCAGCAATGTTAACTGCCAATTTTTGGGCATCATGGTTAAGAAGAATTTGCTGTTGTGCTTGCTTTTTTGCATGAATGTATTATTCTTTGTTTCGTTTCTTCAAAGCAAATATATTTTTAGGCTTCAGCGCACCAATCGGCCAGATTCCTACAGTCACTACCTTGATATCACCCCAAAATCTACACCAGACCTAGACCACGGAACATACTCTGGAAACCCCTACATCTACAAGGAGGATGTAGGCCATTGTTTTATTGTAGTATATAACACATACTCCACTCCATAGAGTGTGGTTAATCATTATTAAAAAATATCATAGGTTCATATTGCCTACATTTGGAATGTACCTTGGAATTTTCTTCTCTTCCTCTTCTGATAATTTAATATCTGATCTACATTGATCATTGACCTGAGAATTATATGGCCAAAGTTGGTACGTAGGAAAATGTTAGGAAAGTTCTTCCCCTGTGCACATGTTGAAATCTATGCCGCTGATATTTCATCTTGTTTCAATATTGAACTCACACCTGTCAGTATCAATTTTTATTTCATCACTACAAAGTTAAACAATGTAAATGCATCCTAACCTTGTGGATAAGCTGGTACAAGAGCAGTCAGTGATGCAATTTGGCTAAGAAAAGGCGTTCATCTTTGTGTAGGATATAACAAATAAGTCACTGACTGTATAGAGTTTATGATGAAGGCAAATATGAACAAATCTAAGCTATTGTAGCAGTCACCTTATGTTGAATAAAACAGATCTAACCATTGATATCTATCTTCTTATTTTTGTACAGTCATCAAGTGGGGTTACTAAAATAGTAGGTTCATTTGTATTGTAACGTGACAAACCTTTCTTGTTATCTTGACGCAGGCAGGCAAGCATCAAAATATTTCCTTATTCACTTGCAAACACTTTTTATAAGAATCATAACCACCTAATTCTCAAGTTAGAGGGCGTCTGTATTTGTGCTGATAAGATTTAGCTTGTGAAATGACATCAGATTTTATGTCTTGTTAAAAAAGCTCTACCATTCTCTGTCAATCAGTTACCGTGATACTGAAGACTGAGAGTGATGTGGACACTATAACAGCAAACGACAATTATTGTATATTTATAGAAAATACGGTTGAGAGATAATATAGTGCGCCCCTTCCATTTGCATCTCTGTTTTATATATCAACCAACACTATGCTCATGACATGCAACTTCAATTAGCATTACACTCAGTTTTAGAATATTATTCCTATTAACAGATGGATTCTTTACGTTCGCCGAGCTCCAAGAGTTATTATGCTTGTGTTGGTGAGAGCACTCATGCCTTTCAGAGCCCTTCCAAGGACCTAACTGCCATCAATAACCGGTTAAACAGGTTGAGTTAACTAAAATATAGTGAACAGGGGAACCTTATAAATAATTTTAAGTACAAATTTTTTTTTCTGATGCCTTCTTGTTATTGCAGTGTTAGAAAGATTAATGGCAGGCTCAACTTCGATTTGGTAAGAGATTCAGTTGTAGCTGGAAGCCTTGACCCTAGCAGTGATACGTCTTCACCTGTGTCAGCGGCTCCTTTGAAGGTTTTAGTGAAGTGTGAACAGCCGGAGTCCTAACCGCGATCCAAACGGTTATTTAAATCCTTTGTATCTAACCTAAGTTAATCCCCATCTCCTTTCAGTTTGTAACTTAATGGGATGAAGAAAATGTACATGAGTGTCGTGAAAAGTAGAATTATATTCCAGCTGCATCCCTCTGTATAGCGAGCAAATCCGCACTTGACTAACTTAATAAAGTTAACTATTCTGTAGCCTGTCCAAGATTGCATAACTATGATCAAAGTATTTTTATCTTATTTTTGTTGTTTAAAGCGAATATCTGATAACTTTGTGTTCCGTTTGTTCGTTGTCTCAACTTTTTATTTTATTAAGAATCTGATTAATTTCAGAGGCATTTTATGATTTTCACGAGACCAAAATGTCTGCTCAATTGTTGGTCCAGGCTAACTTGGATATGAGATACTACTTTATGTGTGTTGGTAAACAAGTCTTCTTGGTAAGCATGTGTATATGCACAAAATTTCTAACGAACTACTTGCGCACTTTCTGTTGATTTGTGAGAGTAGCTCTGATATCAATTGTTGAGTTGAGAAGGGTGATGGATACTAACAAATATTTTGTTATTATTTCTTTAGTGGTATAACACTCAGTACTCTCTCTAATATAGACATTCTCTCCATTACAAACCACTACTCTTTTACAAACACCCACTATTTATTTTTCTCTTTCTTTATCTTTTTCTTTAATTTTCTCTTGCTACTGGGATGATATCTATTGAAGGCTTTGGCATGTTATTTATAGGCGATATTGTGGTAGGTGTACACTGTGGAAGTTATGTTGCTATAGTATCTCTACAGTAATGGTCGGGGGCACAGTAGGTGGTTACTGTAGAAATGGTGGCTGGGGTAGGTGCGGGTAGGTAGCTCGGTGATGATTTTCATCACTTTATGTTAATAAACATAAAAGTGAAATCGTGTCATGCTATCTTCTTAATATCGATTCTTTTTTTGCTCAGAATCTGCATATGGTTTAGTTCCATTATTCAAAAAGCAAGACTGTCAAGCTAACAATCTACTGATTTCTGACCACTTCAAGCAAAACAAGGAAATCCCATTTGGTCTCTTTACAGAGAATCAAATGGCTGCCCTATTCTCAGTCCTCAAGCCTTCTATAACGCAATAGTTTGATATGGATTTGCATCTATAGATACTGGGGGACGGGAAAAAGGAAACTGTTTACTACTGTTTTTTACTAGCTAAATGCATGCACAGACCACTAATAAATGCATACTTTTTACCTTGCATGTGAACATGTATAACCTCATGACTAAATCACATAATTTGTGTGCATTATCTTTTAGTCTGATATTGGTAATAGAGGGAGCTCCTCCTAAATGATAATGCTTTATTATTGATTTTTTTTTTATGGTTCATTGTTTTGAATTGAGATACTAGAGAAAACAAGCTTCATAATATTATTTACATCCAAATATTTTTACATAATCCTATTGAATTATATTAGTTGTTGAATTTACCATCTTCACTAAGAACTAGCTCCTCAAGGTATAGAAGAATTAGATGGTATCAATAGCTTGAAAGAAGTGAAAGATATTATCCCAAATTATGATACATTTAGTGATCTATATTGGAACAAAAATCTAGAGTGCAAGTTGCGGGACTTAAAAAAAAAATCTTTTCTGTGACACATCCACATAAACCTGGAACCAAGCAAAGTAATAAAGACTTATGGTTCCTCAATCTCAGACCAAAATGAAGCTATAAAAGAGGGATTTGGATCCTCTCCACTACAAAAAAGTAGTGGAGAGACCACTACTTTTAATCTTAAGCGTTGATTATTTAGTAGGCGGTTATGATACAATCTAAATTTAACACTTACCATACCCCCGTGTATTGCACTCATTCCTAATTTGCACTAAAAGAAAAAATCATAACCATCAACTAGATAATCAATGACTGTGATTATGTAGTGGTCCCTCCATTATTTTTTTTGTAGTGGAGAGGATACGAATCCATAAAAGAGGGAGCACCTAGGAACACATGCACCGCGACAAAGAACGTCCAATTCGGTGACACGAACAGCAATTGAACACAAGAAAGTGGAGTTTGTTCCTCACGATATCTTGCTTATTGCTGCCGATGATGATACTTATGACCCTGTGACCATATTTGGAAGACAACCAGATGCAAATGGACCTGTTGAACTTCTAAAGGTGTTCTTTTGAGGCATGATTCATCAGACACCAATAATTTCCAAAGTTGAGATATACAATCTCTCTTCAAATATCTTAATTTCCTTTTTTCACTGGGAAGTTCGCTAAGCCTCATCGAAAACTTCGAAAGAGTCCACATGAGCTCGAGTTGATGATACAATCCTCTCAATTTCCAAACAAAATCAACTAACAAAGTGTTGAATTTTTCTTAATTTAGATCATGAAGAGCGTTAACTGTGCATGCTTGAGTGCTGTTTGATTGATAGATAGAAGCTCAAGTATCTTCCACGAGCTTTGAAGGCTGCAATTCTAACTTATCTAACTTCTTTTTTTCTTTTTCTTTTTTTGTGAAACCACAGATTGCGTGTATAGTTTTCATTCGTGAAGACATGAATTTGTGCCTTTATTTTTTCATTTGTGAGATTGCATCATGGCACTTCATCAGTACCCGGAATAACATCTGTAATTTTACTAAAAAAATGCTTGAATACAGGTAGACTAATTGTTCTTTTTCCATTGACCTTGCTCTAGGTGAAAAAGTAGTTTCTTAATGCTTACATCACATCATACTCCATTTAAAAGTACGAGTTCGGAAAAATCTTTCTATTATCAATATTGCCCTTGACTATTTGAATATTTTATTTAAATTTTAATTTATTATAATCATAATTATATCCTATCCTAAACCTATGTGAACTATTACAAATCAACAATTTAAAGATTAATAAGCTATAATATATAAAATTGCAAAAAACACCAAAAAGTTTTAAAATTTGCCAAAACACCCTTAAGAGTATAAAATTACACAAAACATCTAGACGTTTCAAAACTTAAAACAACAAATATGAAACCCTCAATATTTTAAATACTATAAAAGCACCCACAAAAATTTAAATAATAACAAAGCACTATGAAATTCTAAAATCTAAAAACTTGTGAACAACAAAGACGAATTCAAGGAATTACTATCAAACACTAAAAAAACTAAAATTTGTAAAAAATAACCTCAAAGTTATAAATATTCTGAAAAGCTTCTTCGAAAATTAAAAAAACACAAAAAACCCTAAAAATTAATAACTTATAACCAATACATATCAAATCTAATAATTATTCGAGTTTGGAAAAATTTTTCCATGGTCAACATTACCATTGACTATTTGAATACTTTATTTAAATTTAATTTATTATAATCATAATTATATCCTATCATAATCTTATGTGAACTATTTACAGGTCAATAATTTAAAAAATAATAAGCTATAATATATGAAGATTGCAAAAAACACCAAAAGGTTTCAAAAATTGCACAAAACACCCTTAAAAGTACAAAATTACACAAAACATATAGACGTTTCAAAACTTAAAACCACAAACATGAAACCCTTAATATTTTAAAAACTATAAAAACACCCTCAAAAGTTAAAATAATAAAAAATCACTATGAAATTCTGAAATTTCAAAACTTGCGAACAACAAAGACGAATTCAAGGAATTACTATGAGACATTAAAAACTAAAATTTATAAAAAATAACCTCAAAGTTATAAAAGTTCCGAAAAACTCATTCGAAAATTAAAAAAACACACAAAACCCTAAAATTTAATAACTTATAACCAATACATCAAATCTCAAAATTATCAGCAGACCGCTAAAATTTAAATTTTGTAACAAACAATCTAAAGTTTCAATAACTATAAAAAATACTCATTCAGAGTTACAAGAAATATTCTGACATTAAAAAACTTACTAAACACATAAAATATGAAAATTACAAGCACTCAACTTAAAATTTAAAATTTATAAAAAAACACTCTTAAAGTTTCAAAATTTGCAAAACACACCCTAAAAATTCAAAATCATGAAAAAGCGACTAAATTTTCAAAACATAGCAAAACAAAAAAAGAGTAGTTGTTTGATATTCTTTCATTAAGATATGTAAATTTAACTTTTATTTTAAGGTTGTACTATCCTTTTTTGGCTTTTAAAAGTAGTCTAATTTTATTGAAAAAGATAAATGTGGAGAAGGATTGATAACATCTCAATAAAAAATAAAATATAAGGAATGAAAGGCACTATTTTCTGAATATTTTATAGAATATGTTTTTTTGGAGTAAACTAGAAATTATTGGAAGGGATTTTCATAAACATTTTTAGTATTTTTATATATTTATGTGGATGTTTTCATTATATAAAAGTATACTAGATTTAGTATTAATTTTTATTTTATAATTTTTTGTTTATGTGGATGTTTTCATTATATAAAAGTATACTAGATTTAGTATTAATTTTTATTTTATAATTTTTTTAAAGTCTATCAAGGATTAGGAACAAACTTCATATTATCTTTTGTGTCATTTTAGCCCACTTTTAACCAATCATCTTGTCTTATGAGCTTTAATTATTTATTTTCCTTTTAGAACGCTTTTTTGAAGTGTTTTTCATTTTTACAATGCTATATTTTCTCAGGTCAAGCTTGGTTTTATGTTGGTCTCAATTACATGATAATTCAAATTGATTTCGAATTATATTTATTTCCTGTCAATTCAATTATCAATATAAAAATTTAAATTGGGTGTAGTTCATTTTAACGAATATTTAAGAAAATAAATAATCACAATCCTAAAGTTTAGAGATATAAGTAAGCAAAAATCATCAAAGTGGAACCGAAGAATAAGTTTTAGTAAGGAAATAAAATAAATATACTTAATCATGATATTTGACCACGTGCATTGCACGTGCATAAAACCTAGTAGTTAATAATGTACGGGTTCGCTTGTTGATCCGTTAGCAGGAACTCAAGTGTTAACAGACGAATTAGATGAATCTAAAATTTATTATTCACTAGGCAAATTAACCGGAGTCCCTGTTGGGAATTTTATGGAGATTAACCTGCGGAATTAAACACTAAACGAATAACGACACCAATGAAAATACCACAAGTAAGCAAACACCAAGATTTAACGTGGTTCGGCAAATCGTGCCTACATCCACGGGGCAATCCAGAGAGAAATATTCCACTATGAAT